ATATATAACGTACCATCGATTGTGTCCTTTGCCATGTAGACCTAGCTTGCCCATCTCATTAAGGTTGGCTGGCGCGTCGCTGTCAAGCACACAGAAGAACATGGCACTCTCAATCATGTCCAGGCTCTGCTTGTTCACTCCGTACTTGAAGAAGGTGGACCGAACTTTAGCCCACTGTATGATTCAGATGTAAACGTGATAAAGAGTTCTAGTCAGGGTCAAGATAAGGTAAATGGCCGGATCCATGTACATTTGGCACAAGATATAAGGGAGTCTATCATATATTGTATTTGATAACAAAGCAATATCGTATATAGTATGTTTCATCATATATATATATATACATATATATATATATATATATATATTGTTTTACACTTCATATATTATATGTTATAAACTTTATATATTATATGACCTATCTTAAATGTTATTTTATATACTTTTAACGTTATATGTCACATGTATTATACAAAATATATAAGATATCTAAAAGCTATTCGTTATATATTGATGTACATCTTTTATATTATTTGATATATTTTATATGTTATGCGTTATAGATCTAATATGTTGTATGTTATATATCTTATATTAGATCTCATATATCTATTTTATGCTGTATATAATATATCTTGTGTATTGTGTAACAAATCTTGTGCTGTATGCTTTATATCATGTTGTATGCTATATATCTTATTTATATGCTATATATATATATATATATATATATTGTTATATTTTATATATCTTATATGTATTATGTTATATATGTTATATGTTATATGTTATATATCTCATGGTATATGATATACATCTTCTACCATATATGTTAAACATTCATGACATTATTTGTCACATATACTACATGTTATATGTTATATATCTTAAAAGCTATTTGTTATATATCGTGAATCTAATATGTTTTATATTTCGAATGTTATATCTGGTATGTTATGTGATATGTGCATCATATGTTATGTTATATCCAGACTCTACTTGTGCACCCCATACTCGAAGACATGGTCACAGATACAAGTCAGTCGAATACAAGCTTGCGTTCAGGTTTGGGCTAGAAACTGTACACAGCCCAAACTTGTGTATCCATATACATACTCTAATGTATTTTTAAATTATCCACCCACAGCTTATAGGTGTATACACAATCCCACCTTCTTACGTTCCCATCTAGTCAACGCTGGTACTAGTATTGCGTTACCCATTACTCTAACCTATCTATATTCTTATCGACGCACTACTCCTGTTGTATACACAACAGGAGTAGTGTACCTTTCTAATACCCATACAGTCCACATCTATCTATTCCATACACATATATATATATATATATATATATATATATACTATAGTCTATATGTAGTCTTATCGACGAACTACTACATGCTGTGTACAGAACACTACCTTGATATCATCACATGCAATCAGTTCTGTGTTCCATTTATTTGTATAGTTTCTCTGATCTATTTATATACACTGCCGATAATTCTATTCACAGAGTCCAGACAATCCTATTTATCTTCTTCTATGCAGTGAATACCGGAAGTCAGTACTCACTTTAACTCTCCATCTATTTCTATGCTTACTCTGATCTATTTTGCACGTACAAAAGAACTTCACATATATACCAAGTACTACCACGGTACACTCCCATCCAGCCAATAATTGAATACTACACATGTCTCCATATATATATATATATATGTGTGTGTGTGTGTGTGTGTGTGTGTGTGTGTGTGT